AAAGTAAATTTGCACATTCAATACATAGCATTTCAACCCCCATCCTGTGGTTTTGCTGAAATATTTTCAGTGGCATTGGATAAGTGTGTGCTAGTCTACTTCTGTAAGTTTAAACTTGTGAAGTATGTGCAGAGATCTTAAAAAGTATTGTTCCTTGAACTGAAACTCCTGGGAGCCATGTGCATTTTGAACAGTACTGGTAAATTAGCACATGGGGATGTGTTCGTCTTCGGAAATTCCTAAATACAAGGTGCTGTATGGTGTTCGTCCGCATTTGATTTTGCCAGAACTTGGTTAGCAGAATTATTCGCTGGGAGTGTCCCAGAGCGAAAACTCGTTTATTCGGGATTCTCCTGCAGAACTCTCGGTAACACACATTCCTATTGGGGATAGAGGAAAACGAGGAAAATCCAAATGTGAATTCTTTCAGTTTACTGGAATTTGAATTTGAGCGCTAGTACTGTACATGTTATCAAGTATTGTAGGAGTCTGATTTTAACAATTATATTTCCATCTGCCAAAGTGCTTAACCACTACCACTGTGCAGAGTGCATCGAGGCATTTTAAGAGTTGTGCTAATTTTTTTTTTTTTTTTTTTTTTTTCATACCACTGTGCTGGTCGGGCTCCAAATATGGCACCCCCTCCCCCCCCCCCCCTCCCTGTGTGCAAGAAATAATTTCTTGGCAAAAAATTATTTAAGTTATATACTCTTCCCTGATCAGATGGGTAAAAAAAAAAAATTGAAATTGTACTTACTTTGGCCGTAATTGGGTCCGAAAAATGGAGCATGACGTCACAATTTGGTGGTCGCCCGTGACGTGGCCCCCAGGAGCCAGATTCACGAAGCAGTTACGCAAGTACTTACGAACGTGTACATCTTTCCTCAATCTGTGACGGCTTTGGTTACATTTATTAAACAGTTTACAAGCATGAAAACTTGCCAATCAACTGTTATTTTTATAAACAGCCTCCTGGTGCTTCGGAGCTCATTAACTGTTTAATAATTGTAAACAAAGCCGCCAAAGATTGAGAAAAGATGTACACGTTCGTAAGTGCTTGCGTAACTGCTTCGTGAATCTGGCCCCAGGTCCAGGAGGCAGTGGTGCGCGAGTTGCCACGAATAATTTTTCATTAATTTTTTGTGTACATTTCCAAATACTTTTTTGTTTTTTCTTGCTAATCCTATGTATAATGAACACGTACACAATATTATGGCAGTAGAACATCCGTACTGTCCCAAGACACTGTTGCACGTCTCAAATGTGTCCACATATATTGCTCATATATCCAATGATTCATGTTCATTTATGTATTTTTACAACATATTTATACACTATACACTATCACACACTATATACGTTCACCATCAACACTCAGAACTCCAGGAGTGTGAGCTGCCACACCCAGCCAGCCCTCCCTCACTCTGCCAACATCTTACTCGCCAACATTGCTCTTTCCACCATACTGTTAGTTTTTATTACACTATTTACACACGCTATGTATAACCATCTACATTGTGAAGGGGAAAAATGGATGCTAGTGCACTCTAGGGCAGATGGAATGCCTCTCACAAAGTATAAAAAAAAAAAAAAAAAAAAAAAAAAAAAAACACCGTGAGGTAACTGTAGGATAAAGTAGAGAGAACAAAATTTAAAATACTTAAACATTATTTTAAACAATATACAAAACAAAAAATATCCAGGCTTGGCTCTAATACAACGTATGTAAAACAATATGAACAATCAAATTTACATTGTTAATGTGAAAATAAAATACTGTATGGCGCTAGAATACTATGAGCTAGACTGCATAAATCTGTTACCATACCGAGATAGGTCAACAGGTCTACTCAATAGAGCACTCGGGAGTAATCTGAATCGTGGTGGTGGCTGGCTTCTATTTATATGAAACGACAGCCGTCCAAGTGGTGCTGGTGTCCTAGATAATTAGGAACCGGCTCACGTTAACTACTACTGGGCGTTTTCTTTGGTGGCGTGAGCTCCCAGGTGCAAGGAGGGTGACGGGCCGTGGGGGAGGTAGACTGGTGGTACTCCATCTAGACATTTTGAGAGGTGGTGTTGCTCTTGTGGCTGCAGTTCTTGAATATATAGACGTGGTATGATAGAATAGGTGTTGATGGAGCAGGCTGAATCTCTTCCTAGAGAGATTTCCATGACATTTTTTATTCTGCGTAACTATACAACTAAGCTGGTATTGTCCAAACAGCACAGTGGCCTCCATATACTGCATGACAACACACAGCAACCAGCAGACAACGTTAAGAGTACAACGCCACCCCTCTTGCCAAAATGACTCCTCCCAACATACTCCTGTTGGTATTATTACACTATATACACACAGTGTATATAGTGTAATATGTACATGGGTACATGGGTATATACATTTGTATATACCCATGTACATATGTGTTCACCATAGCATACCACTAAATTAGTATGGTGAGCAAAACAAGTGGCTGCCACGTGACTATCTGGATTTGCCACCCTCCCCTCACCAAACATCCTCCTCCCACAATACTATGCACAGCGCTAATTATCACCACAATCCTGCTATTACATGTATAATAATCCTGGTCACTAAATCCTGTAAATGAATAATTGACCAGGTTTATTTTGTAAAGGAACCTAAGAAGTCGTTTGAAGATTCCTAGAGGGACGAAATAATGCTGTGGCGCTGTGGCTAGCGCTGTGAACATCGTGAATAGCATTGATTCACTGATATTTGAACATTGTACAGAGTCATTATCACACTCAGGTTCTTCTATAATACTATCATAGCTAAATAATACCAGGTACATGTATATATATATATATATATATATACTGTAACCCCGCGATTATCCGGGATTCAAACATCCGGAAAACGCCCTTATACGGCCAAAATCGTGATCGGATAAAGTTATCACAATATCCGGCCAAAATGGCCACAGGAACCGGATAAAAGCTGGTTTGGCCGGATGAATATTCGGCCATACCGTATTAATCCCGTCTGTGGCTCTAGACGCATGGTTGAGGAAGGGGTGGGGTGGGTGGGTGTTGTCGGGAGGGGGGAAGGGGTGCGTCGGAAGGGACCACCTAGGTACAGGAATTACCATTAATTTTAGAACACTTAATCATAGCCAAAAACAAATGAAATAAGTACTAGTAATTATGTAATAACAAATAAATAAGTTTCCTAAAATTAATGTGCACAGGCTGAAGTTTCCTTCAAAAATATTGAGTTTTTTTCCTCCTGGCGGCCTATGTGTCCCGTCTTCCCAGCACTCTTTGTCATATAACGCTATACTGACTGGCCCCACCACCTTCTCACTTAACTTGTGTCTACTACTCTATTTGCGAAGGTGAATTTTCTTATATTTCTTCGGCATCTGTAACGCGCTACTGCCCCACCCCAAGTGGACCTGTCCAACACTGGTCAACCCATGTGCATCCTTCCCTCGTGTTATACACAGTGCTGCGCCATTAGTGAAATATTTTTTTAAATAACTTTTTTATTTTCATAGTAACTTTGAACATTTTTGACCAAGACTATGTCTGGTAGCAGCATCAATCATTCTGGAGGTGTTAAGAGGAAGAAGGTTGTCCTAGCAATTAAAGAAAAGTTATGTGTTGTTCAACCAGTGAGGCGTCACAGGCAGCCAAATGCCTGAGGCGCCACAGGCAAGCCAAGCGCCTTTAACAAGTGATGCGCAAGCAAGCAAGCACCTTCAACAAGTGAGGCGTCACAGCCAAATTATGATGTTGTTCAACCAGTGAGGCGTCACAGGCAGCCAAATGCCTTCAACAAGTGAGGCGCCACAGGCAAGCCAAGCGCCTTTAACAAGTGATGCGCAAGCAAGCAAGCACCTTCAACAAGTGAGGCGTCACAAGCAAGCCAAATGCCTTCAACAAGTGAGGCGTCACAGGCCAAGCGCCTTCAACAAGCGAGGCACATGCAAGCGCCTTCAACAAGCGAGGCGCATGCAAGCGCCTTCAACAAGCGAGGCCTCACAGGCAACCCAAATGCCTTCAACCAGTGAGGCTTCAGCAGCTGACAGTCAAAATTAACTTTGCTTAATGAACTGTACAGTAATTTTAAGTGTTAATTTTAGTGTTGTGTTAGTATAAGTTATGTAAATTGTTAAGAATTCTTAACTCAAAGATGTGTGGCATCAATCAAGACGACGAACACCAACAAGGTAAGTTGAGGTTTCTAGTTGAATATTTAATAATTATATGTGGCAAGGCAATTCAAATTATGTTTTGTAGTATAAAAGTAGTTGAAAATTGTCACTTTTGGACTCGTAGGTGGAAAAAGTACAATTATCCGAAAAATGTGATAATCCGGCTGGGGGTCCTTCCCATATAGTCCAGATGATCGAGTGGAGACAGTACTGTATTGACATAATTAGGCGATGCTGTGATCACAAGCTGAGCAGCAGTGCCGAGAGCTCATGGTGCGTGCGCCGGCCTTGGTTGCTCACTCAGTACTGAGGCTCTCACCCAGGAATGTTGCCCATGCTTTTCTTTTAAATAGTGTCTCTTTAAAAGAGCCCTGAGGAAGCTGATGTGAACCCCATGTAGTGGTGGGAGTTTTGAATCGTGCGCTATACCTATAAGATCCCCGAGGCACATTGCATTCCACCCGTTGAGTGCCTACAGGCGCGTTGTGCAGTGCAGTGGTTAATAAAGATATATTTTAATTTTTTTTTTTTTTTTTTTTTTTTTTTTTTTTTTTTTTTTTTTTTTTTTTTTTTTTTTTTTTTTTTTTTTTTTTTTCCCATCATTGCATTTTGAAATGAAAATGGTTGAATTTGGAAACATTAACATTAACTTTACCTGAACATTTATAAAGACAACAAAAATGTCCATAAAAATTGCACTATGACATTTTTTGCCAAAACCAGGTGTACAGTGCAGTGGCTAAGTTATTGCAATCCTTGATGAATACTGAAGCTTGATAAGTAGGTTAAAAGTATTTTTTCATTTTATTGAAACAGGACTTTGCAACTGTGATCTTCGGGTCGGTGTACATGGGGCACGGGGAGGTGTGTAACAGAGTAGGGGACCTGCCCCTCTCCCAGGCCCTGTGTCTGCCAGTCTCCGCCGAGGAAATAATCGACACTTGCGACGTGATTCAGGCATCGCCCGAAGACATTGAACAGGTGAGGATGCTACTGGGTTGCCTATGATGCCAAATCTTGCTCATATTTACAGTGTGCCAGGAATAATGGGGCTATATCTTCAACTACAGCATCTTGCCTTTCCCTGCAGCCCTTGTCCTTGTATGATGCCATCCCTCCCCCCTCCCCTTCCTGCAGCCCTTGTCCTTGTGTGATGCCCTCCCTCCCCCCTCCCCTTCCTGCAGCCCTTGTCCTTGTGTGATGCCCTCCCCCCCCTCCCCTTCCTGCAGCCCTTGTCCTTGTGTGATGCCCTCCCCCCCCCCCCCCTTCCTGCATCCCCTTCCTGCAGCCCTTGTCCTTGTGTGATGCCCTCCCCCCCCCCCTCCCCTTCCTGCAGCCCTTGTCCTTGTGTGATGCCCTCCCCCCCCTCCCCTTCCTGCAGCCCTTGTCCTTGTGTGATGCCCTCCCCCCCCCCTCCCATTCCTGCAGCACTTGTCCTTGTGTGATGCCCTCCCCCCCCTCCCCTTCCTGCAGCCCTTGTCCTTGTGTGGTGCCCTCCCCCCCCTCCCCTTCCTACAGCCCTTGTCCTTGTGTGGTGCCCTCCCCTTCCTGCAGCCCTTGTCCTTGTGTGGTGCCCTCCCCTTCCTGCAGCCCTTGTCCTTGTGTGGTGCCCTCCCCTTCCTGCAGCCCTTGTCCTTGTGTGGTGCCCTCCCCTTCCTGCAGCCCTTGTCCTTGTGTGGTGCCCTCCCCCCCCCTCCCCTTCCTGCAGCCCTTGTCCTTGTGTGATGCCCTCCCCCCCCCCCTTCCTGCAGCCCTTGTCCTTGTGTGATGCCCTCCCCCCCCCCCTTCCTGCAGCCCTTGTCCTTGTGTGATGCCCCCCCCCCCCCTCCCCTTCCTGCAGCCCTTGTCCTTGTGTGATGCCCTCCACCCCCCCTCCCCTTCCTGCAGCCCTTGTCCTTGTGTGATGCCCTCCCCCCCCCCTCCCCTTCCTGCAGCCCTTGTCCTTGTGTGGTGCCCTCCCCCCCCCTCCCCTTCCTGCAGCCCTTGTCCTTGTGTGATGCCCTCCACCCCCCTCCCCTTCCTGCAGCCCTTGTCCTTGTGTGATGCCCTCCCCCCCCCTCCCCTTCCTGCAGCCCTTGTCCTTGTGTGGTGCCCTCCCCCCCCCTCCCCTTCCTGCAGCCCTTGTCCTTGTGTGATGCCCCCCCCTCCCCTTCCTGCAGCCCTTGTCCTTGTGTGATGCCCTCCCCCCCCCCCCTCCCATTCCTGCAGCCCTTGTCCTTGTGTGGTGCCCTCCCCCCCCCCCTTCCCCTTCCTGCAGCCCTTGTCCTTGTGTGATGCCCTCCCCCCCCTCCCCTTCCTGCAGCCCTTGTCCTTGTGTGGTGCCCTCCCCCCCCCTCCCCTTCCTGCAGCCCTTGTCCTTGTGTGATGCCCTCCCCCCCCCTTCCTGCAGCCCTTGTCCTTGTGTGATGCCCTCCCCCCCCTCCCCTTCCTGCAGCCCTCGTCCTTGTGTGGTGCCCTCCCCCCCCTCCCCTTCCTGCAGCCCTTGTCCTTGTGTGGTGCCCTCCCCCCCCCCTCCCCTTCCTGCAGCCCTTGTCCTTGTGTGGTGCCCTCCCCCCCCCCCCCTCCCCTTCCTGCAGCCCTTGTCCTTGTGTGGTGCCCTCCCCCCCCCTCCCCTTCCTGCAGCCCTTGTCCTTGTGTGATGCCCTCCCCCCCTCCCCTCCCCTTCCTGCAGCCCTTGTCCTTGTGTGATGCCCTCTCCCCCCCCCCCCTCCCCTTCCTGCAGCCCTTGTTCTTGTGTGGTGCCCTCCCTCCCCCTACCCTTCCTGCAGCCCTTGTCCTTGTGTGGTGCCCTCCCCCCCCCCTCCCCTTCCTGCAGCCCTTGTCCTTGTGTGGTGCCCTCCCCCCCCTCCCCTTCCTGCAGCCCTTGTCCTTGTGTGGTGCCCTCCCCCCCCCCTTGTCTCCCCTTCCTGCAGCCCTTGTCCTTGTGTGATGCCCTCCCCCCCCCCTCCCCTTCCTGCAGCCCTTGTCCTTGTGTGATGCCCTCCCCCCCCTCCCCTTCCTGCAGCCCTTGTCCTTGTGTGGTGCCCTCCCCCCCCCCCCCCCCCCCTTCCTGCAGCTCTTGTCCTTGTGTGGTGCCCTCCCCCCCCCCCCTCCCCTTCCTGCAGCCCTTGTCCTTGTGTGATGCCCTCCCCCCCCCCCCCTCCTCTTCCTGCAGCCCTTGTCCTTGTGTGGTGCCCTCCCCCCCCCCCCTTCCTCCCCTTCCTGCAGCCCTTGTCCTTGTGTGATGCCCCCCCCCTCCCCTTCCTGCAGCTCTTGTCCTTGTGTGGTGCCCCCCCCCCCCCCCCCCTTCCTGCAGCCCTTGTCCTTGTGTGGTGCCCTCCCCCCCCCCCCCCCCTCCCCTTCCTGCAGCCCTTGTCCTTGTGTGATGCCCTCCCCCCCCTCCCCTTCCTGCAGCCCTTGTCCTTGTGTGGTGCCCTCCCCCCCCCCTCCCCTTCCTGCAGCCCTTGTCCTTGTGTGATGCCCTCCCCTTCCTGCAGCCCTTGTCCTTGTGTGGTGCCCCCCCCCCCTCCCCTTCCTGCAGCCCTTGTCCTTGTGTGGTGCCCTCCCCCCCCCTCCCCTTCCTGCAGCTCTTGTCCTTGTGTGGTGCCCTCCCCCCCCTCCCCTTCCTGCAGCCCTTGTCCTTGTGTGGTGCCCTCCCCCCCCCTCCCCTTCCTGCAGCCCTTGTCCTTGTGTGATGCCCTCCCCCCCCCCCCCCCTCCCCCCCCTCCCCTTCCTGCAGCCCTTGTCCTTGTGTGAGGCCTCCCCCCCCCCTCCCCTTCCTGCAGCCCTTGTCCTTGTGTGATGCCCCCCCCCTCCCCCTCCCCTTCCTGCAGCCCTTGCCCTTGTGTGATGCCCCCCCCCCCCTCCCCTTCCTGCAGCCCTTGTCCTTGTGTGGTGCCCTCCCCCCCCCTCCCCCCCTTCCTGCAGCCCTTGTCCTTGTGTGATGCCCTCCCCCCCCCCTCCCCTTCCTGCAGCCCTTGTCCTTGTGTGTGATGCCCTCCCCCCCCCCCTCCCCTTCCTGCAGCCCTTGTCCTTGTGTGATGCCCCCCCCTCCCCTTCCTGCAGCCCTTGTCCTTGTGTGATGCCCTCCCCCCCTCCCCTTCCTGCAGCCCTTGTCCTTGTGTGGTGCCCTCCCCCCCCCCCCCCTCCCCTTCCTGCAGCCCTTGTCCTTGTGTGGTGCCCTCCCCTCCCTCCCCTTCCTGCAGCCCTTGTCCTTGTGTGAGGCCCTCCCCCCCCCTCCCCTTCCTGCAGCACTTGTCCTTGTGTGATGCCCTCCCCCCCCCCCCTTCCTGCAGCCCCTCCCCTTCCTGCAGCCCTTGTCCTTGTGTGATGCCCTCCCCCCCCCCCCTCCCCTTCCTGCAGCCCTTGTCCTTGTGTGATGCCCTCCACCCCCCCTCCCCTTCCTGCGGCCCTTGTACTTGTGTGATGCCCTCCCCCCCCCCCCTCCCCTTCCTGCAGCCCTTGTCCTTGTGTGACCCCCTCCCCTTGACCAGACCACACACTAGAAGTTGAAGGGACGACGACGTTTCTGTCCGTCCTGGACCATTCTCAAGTCGATTGTGATGAGGTAGAGACAGGCAATAAATAGGCAAGAGAGAGCTGAGGAGGAAAGTAAGGTGTAGGGGGTGGTAGAAATAATGAGAACTGCAGAAGGCCTATTGGCCCATACGACGCAGCTCCTATTATAAACACCGAAGGAGATAGTAATAGGAATAAGAAGAGGATAGCAAGGGAGCGTAGGAGAAGACAATGAACAGAAAAAGGGGAGAAAAGAGAGAAAAGGAAAAAGATAAATGGAAGGGGTAAGCTTATGTTAAGTAATGTTTGTTAGAAAGATTAGAGCATTTGAGTATATACTGTGAAAGGGAAGAGTCCACAGCAACAAAGCCAGGACTCAAGTTCATGTTGGGTACATTGTGTATAAGAGCCGATTCTACAAGACTGCTTCTGTGTAGAGTAGAGGCAGGAAAGATTATTTTGGAGGAAGACCAATCAATGGGATGATTAGAATCCCTCGCATGGCAGAAGAGAGCATTGTTAGTGTCTGCAGACTTAATTACATTGTTAATAAGAGCCGATTCTACAAGACGGCGTCTGTGTAGAGTAGAGGCAGGAAAGATTATTTTGGAGGAAGACCAATCAATGGGATGATTAGAATCCCTCGCATGGCAGAAGAGAGCATTGTTTGTGTCTGCAGACTTAACACTTCTCTTGTGTTCTTTAAGTCTGTCATTCAGTGTACGGCCAGTTTCGCCAAAGTATTGGAGAGGACAAGATGAACAGGAAATAGAGTAAACACCAGCAGCATTAGAAGCATTAGGAGCAGTGTGAACTAGATTGCTACGAAGTGTTAGTTTGTCGAAAGGCGAGTTTAATGTCAAGAGGACGAAAGGTATTGGTAAAAGTTTTGAGTTCAGATATGAAGGGAAGGCATAGTGCAGTGCTGCTAGTGTTGGAAGCAGGGTTAGGATGAAAGAAATTTCATTTAGCATGAGAGTAGGCACAGTTGATGAAATGCAAAGGATAACCAAGGCGAGAGAATGATTTGTAGATAAAGGCAATTTCAGAATCAAGAAACTGAGGGTCGCTGATGCGTAGAGCACGGAGGAAGAGAGAGACGAGGACACTTAACAGAAGGAGGATGGTAGGAAAAGAAGTGAATGTACATGCCACTATGCATGGGTTTACAGTAGACAGAGAAAGGGAACCCAGACACAGAGCTGTGAACATGAACATCAAGAAAAGGAAGGAGGGAATTAGATTCCCACTCAACTTTGAAATGGATAGGAGGAGCCAGATTGTTAAGAGAGGCGAGGAAAGGCTGGAAAAGATTGTCATGAGGCCATAAAGCAAAAATTTCATCAACATAGCGAAGCCAGAGAGAGGGACGAGTATCAATAGAAGGAAGAAGAACAGTTTCGAAATATTCCATGTAGAAATTAGCAAGAACAGGGGAGAGGGGAGAACCCATAGCGACACTGAAAGTTTGAGTGTAATATTTACCGTTGAAAGAGTTAGATTCAACACAGTCTAATGAGATTGAGGAAAACGTCAGTGGGAAGTGGGAGAGGAAGAAGGCCCTCTGACGCCTTCTGTCTAAGGAAAGAGAGAACGTCATCGAGCGGAACATTAGTGAACAGTCGACATAAAGACTAAGCATCTTACAAGAGGGTTGCAGGCGCAGTCTTTCTATGAAGTCCTGAGAGTGACGAAGGTGGGCAGGGGAAAAAGTGCCAAGGTAAGGTGTCAGGGTTTTAGCGAGCCAGGAGGCAAGAGGATAGCTGACAGAGCCCCGTGAAGAAATGATAGGACGAAGAGGAACACCAGGTTTGAGTCTTAGGAAGACCATAGAAATAAGGGAGAAGGGCAGATGACACAGAAACGTTTAATGAGATCAAAGTCAGGAGGGCAAAGACTAGAGAGCTGTCTTAGTTTGCGGTTAAAGGAAGTTTTGAGGTGATCCAAAGGGTTTGAAGTCAGAGGAGCATAAGTGCGACAGTCAGAGAGCAAGACATCTGCTTTTCGGAGGTAGTCCTCACGGTCAAAGACAACCACCGAATTGCCTTTGTCGGAAGGAAGGATAAGAATAGAGTTGTTAGATTTTAGGGAGGCAAGGGCAAGCTGGAAGCGATGAGGAAGGTGGTGATTTTTAGAAATAAGCTGTCAAGAACGGGGATAAGGGCCCCTCTAAAGGCAGACGGGTCCGAAAGAGTACTACAGTAGTTAGAATTGACAAACCTGTCAAAGGAACTAATGAGATCGATGCCACAGCGTGGGCCAGGGGAAGTAGCAAAAGACAGACCAAGACCAAGACGTTCTTGCTGGTGCTTAGAGAGTAGGACGAAAGGTTGGTAACACAGTCAGAGAGAGAGTATTTGGCCCAAGGACTGTTGGAGATAAGTCTTCCGTCGTCTTCTGATTGGTCTTCCTCCAAAATAATCTTTCCTGCCTCTACTCTACACAGAAGCAGTCTTGTAGAATCGGCTCTTATACACACTGTACCCAACATGAACTTGAGTCCTGGCTTTGTTGCTGTGGACTCTTCCCTTTCACAGTATATACTCAAATGCTCTAATCTTTCTAACAAACGTGGCTTAACATAAGCTTACCCCTTCCATTTATCTTTCTTTTTCTTTTTCTCTTTCCTTTTCTTTCTCTTCTCCCCTTTTTCTGTTAATTGTCTTCTCCTACGCTCCCTTGCTATCCTCTTCTTATTCCTATTACTATCTCCTTCGGTGGTTATAATAGCTGTGTCGTATGGGCCAATAGGCCTTCTGCAGTTCTCATTATTACTACTATCCCCTACACCTTACTTTCCTCTTCAGCTCTCTCTTGCCTATTTATTGCCTGTCTCTACCTCATCACAATCGACTTGAGAATGGTCCAGGACGGACCGAAACGTCGTCGTCCCGTCAACTTCTAGTGTGTGGTCTGGTCAACATACTTCAGCCACGTTATTGTGACTCATCCCCTCCCCTTCCTGCAGCACTTGTCCTTCTGTGATGCACCCCTCCCTTCCTGTATCCTTGGTCCATTGTCAGAGCTTCCCCTGTATCAGTTGTGGGCTCCTTCAGGCATTCCCCATTTTACCTTAATAGTATAACATTTTAGTTCCAATAATATTAGCACTTCTATTATTTTGACATGCTTCTAAAAAAGTTATTTTTTAAAGGTGAGCAAAATCCATTATTTTCACAATGCCTGTTGATTTCAGGTTCGGTTTTTCCTTGTGGACTGTCGACCGTCCGATCAGTATAATGCTGGTCATCTTCCAAATGCCTTTCATCTAGACTCTAGCTTGGTAAGTCGGAGTATTAGTGTTATGGAATTGCTCTTAGAAATGCTTAAACTTTTGGTGATAATTTTGCTAGAAATTTTCACAAAAACCGAGCTGAGCATTCCACTCCAAATAATATTCCCGTCATCTTTGTTTACTGGAATCTTGGCAGATATATGGAGAAAGGCAAAGTGGCAACATGGGGTTCACATCAGCTTCCTCAGGGCTCTGTTTATAAGACTCAATTTAAAAAAAAAGTGGTCAACATTTCCGGGTGTGAGCCTCATTAGTGAGTGAGCCACCAAGGCTGGCACACGCAGCATGAGCTCACAGCACTGTTGTTCAACTTGTGACCACAGCATCGCCAAAAAAATGTAAAAATATGAGTAACCGGTATTATTTAGCAATGATAGAAGTCTTCTGTAATACTATGATGAAAATGGCCAGGATTCTGATAATAGCAGGATTGTTGTGATAATTAGCACTGTGCAGTATGGTGGGAACAGTAATGCTGAGGGCAGGAGGTTCGTCTGCTGACTGTGTGGCCACCTGTTATTGTCTGAACACGCCATACCAGTTTAGTTGTACAGTTATGGTGAATGTCATGTAGATACTTGTATATATATTTAATGTCTTGTACAGTATATAGTTAATAAAGCAAAACGAGTATGGTGGGAGGAGGAGGAGGAATGTTGGCGAGTGAGTTGAAGGAAGGTGGCGGTGGCTGGCAGGTGTGCGACGGTCACTCCTCATTGTTATAATTCACCATACCAACTTAGTGGTTTGTTATGGTGGACAAAACATGCAGATACTTACATATAACCTGTGTGTATAGTGTAATAACTGCAAAACTATGTTTATTGTTTATGAACTTGATAATTGAATTGCCAATATGCACACCCAATATGTTTATTGTTTATGAACTTGATAATTTAATTGCCAATATGCACACCATAATTTTGAATATGGCTATGATTCACACTACACACTTAAATACTGAAAAAAAAAAAAAAAAACATTGAAATAATTAGGTAATGATATCTTTGTGGCAACTCCCGCCTGATAAGTCTAGCGAAGCTGACCGCCTCCGACTATTGCTCAGTCAACGCCTTTTTTTTTGGTTTCCTCTCTTTACTCTCCACACTTCCTCGCCCTATTGCGGCCAAAATGTGTCGCCTAGGATTTTGGGGAGGCGTGGGCTGCTCTATAATCACACGAGGAGCCCAGGGATTAACTCCTTGGCTACTCTTGTGATTATAGCCTGCAACACACCCAGGTGCAAGAAATAAAAAAAATTCTTGTGAAAGTGTTCATTTGTGTTTATATTATTTAAGTGTGTAGTATTTGTGTATGTATGTGTGTATGTATTTAAGTGTGTATGTAAGTGTGTATGTAAGTGTGTATGTATTTGTGTGTGTATTTAGTGTGTATGTATTTAAGTTTAAATTATTATTTAAGTGTGTAGTGTGAATCATAGCCATATTCAAAATTATGGTGTGCATATTGGCAATTCAATTATCAAGTTCATAAACAATAAACATAGTTTTGCAGTTATTACACTATACACACAGGTTATATGTAAGTATCTGCATGTTTTGTCCACCATAACAACCACTAAGTTGGTATGGTGAATTATAACAATGAGAGTGACCGTCGCACACCTGCCAGCCACCGCCACCTTCCTTCAACACCTCACTCGCCAACAAGAATGTAACAACTCTTGTATATATCTCAAAAAAAAAAAAAAAAATCCTTCTTCTCCCACCATACTCGTTTTGCTTTCATTTACTATATACAAGACATATATATAAGTATCTACATGTTCACCATAACTGTGCACCTAAGCTGATATGGTGAGTTCAGACGAGGTCACAACACATGCCTGATGCTGCCTCCCTTCCTCGCTAAGATTCCTCCTTCCACCATATTTTGTGCGGTTATATATAACATAAGTATATAGTGTAATGAGTATCTACATTTGTGTTCTCTATAGTGGACAACTAAGTTGGAATGGCGAGTTCAGACAATAACAGGTGGCCACACAGTCAGCAGACGAACCTTCCTCCCTCAGCATTACTGTTCCCACCATACAGCACAGCGCTAATTATCACAACAATCCTGCTATTATCAGAATCCTGGTCATTTATCACAGTCAAGGTTGTTCTGTAATACTATCATCACTAAATAGTTACGTATATATTTTGACATTTCATACGTGATGCTGTGGTCACAAGCTGAACTGCAGTGCTGTGAGCTCATGCTGCATGTGACGGCCTTGGTTGCTCACTCGGTACTGAGGCTCTCGCACCCGGGAATGTTGACCACGATTTTTTTTTTTTTTTTTTAAATGGAGCCTGTTTACAAGAGCCCTGAGGAAGCTGATGTGAATCCCGTGTAGCCGCGGGACTTTTAAATCTTGCACGGTACTCCAACACACACAGCTATGGTGTGCAATTCTGCGACAGTTACTCACCAGTGCTATTAATGTGTTGCATAGTTTAAGGATTAAATAGGCTTTTGATAGTCCCACACAAAACTGTTCTGGAAACTGGAACATGCTGCAGAGGTGACAGGGAGACTTCTGACATGGATGGAAAAATGTTCCGACTGACACTGATAAGGACGGTAATCAGACACAATTTATCTGACTGGATTTGTTACGAGCGGAGTACCAGAGGGTTCACTTCTTGCACCAGTAATATTTATTGTCTACATAAACGATCTACAGAAAAAATACAAAGTTACAGTGGCACCTCGACTTAAGATTGCCCCGACTTACAATAATTTTGAGTTACAATGTAAATTTGATCGAAAAATGCGACTCGACTTAGGATAGTGTCGTCGACTAACGATATTTGTTGGTACACGTTTGGGTTGACCGAGCGCGTGGTTTCTGGTCACGCGGGCCGACCTGCCTCAGTTTACTAGAGCTGCCCACTTAATGACGATCACGCCTATAAGAAATTCCATTTGTGGTGATTTTTGGCTTTTTGAACACACAACTGATTATTATATATCGCCCCATGGGTCCCAAGAAAGTCGGTGGTAAGGTTCAACATGTGAAAACACGAGTAAGAATGACCATAGAGGAAAAAAAAGGTTATACGTAAATATGAAAACAGTACTAGTGTTGAACTAGGCAGTACAATAAATCTTCAGAGGAGGAGGAGGAGATGGCGGCATTAAAGGATGTCCCTTCCTCACTAAGGAAATGTGTGCAGTATGGGAAGGACTGCAAAGTTTTGCTGAAAAGAATCGCCCAGATAAAGCTGTAACACCCCATTGCATTGATCTTTTTAATGACACTGTGATGCCTCGGTACCGACAAGTGTTGGAAAGAGGGGGAAAAACAATCAATGGAACTATTTCTAGTGAGAAAATCAAGCAGGTAAGCCAGAAGCAGGTCCTAGTGGTATGCAGGCAAAATGTGCCCGAGTGTGTACCTCAGAAGTCCTCACTGCCTAATGGAAGGCAGAAGTTCTAATGGAAGGGGAAGAAATGGAAGAAATGTTATAATGGAAGTCCTCACTGCCCTTCCAAACAGTAACACCTCTCCTTCCCCCTCCTCACCATCTTCCCTACGCCATCAAGAGTCCTCCATAGAGGCAAGATAAACGTATGTACTCTATTGTAGTTAGAGAAAAAATTGTATTCAGTATAAAATGTATTTGTAAGTTAATCCATTCCCCACCCTCCAAAATATTAATTCAATTCCCTTTATTTCTTATGGGAAAAATCGCTTCGACTTACGATCCGTCTCTGGGAACGGATTACCATCATAAATCGAGGCCCCCACTGTATATGAAAATGTTTGCGGAAATGCTATAATATTGGAAGATAGACGCAGACAATTGTAATGCCCTTCAAATCTTTCCAGATAATAAGTGCTTGGAGCGTCAAGTTGCAAATGGAATACAATGTAAATATATATACCATATTATCGAATGTGGAAACAGAAAATAGACCACACACAACTTGTAAATTGTGTGGAAAGGAATTACAGGACTCTAATAATGAAAAAGATTTAGGGGTGGTTTTGAATAGTAAGCTGTTGCCAGAGAAACGCACACAGAATATTGAGATGAGCGTATGTGTCGCTTTCTAACTTCAGACTTGCTTTTAATTATATAGATGCTGAAATACTAAAACTGTTCATGGCTTTTGAGACCAAAATTGGATTAAGCAGCAGTTGAGTGGTGTCCAAATCTCAAGAAGCACAAACTGGAGAAGGTGCAAATGCATGCTACAAAAATGGCTTCCAGAATTGGAAGTAAAAGTTACAAGGAGAGACTAGAGGTGTTAAACATGCCAAAACTAGAAGATGGAAGAAAGAGGTGAAATGATTACCACTTGCAAAATATTAACAGGAATCGACCAAATTGACAGGAATTCCTGAAACCAGCAACATCACAAACGAGGACACAGATTCAAGTGAAGAAAACAGTGCTGTAAAAACATTAGAAAGCATTCTTTTGCAAATGCTGGAACACGTGTAGAAGATGGCTGGAACAAATTAAGTGAAAAGGTGTATACCGAAACAGTCTATAGTTTCAAAGCATTACACGACAGAGTACTGGAAAGACAGACACCACGAGCGTAGTTCTCATCCTATAACTACACTTCGTGTGCACAATATGTAATTACTCCAATGGAGCGACCCTTTCAAGAATTCAGCTGTTCCGTAGTACACTACTACGTTGAAGTTTGCTCGGATAAAAAAGTTAAATCCAATGGGGGAGAGGCGGGGGGGTGGAGTTCGTTCATGATAATTAGAGCACCAGAGGTATTTGGAGAACTGGGACAGTGTAAGGGTTAAGGAAACTACAAAAAAGTCCTCAAGGGCCGTGACGAGGATTCGAACCTGTGTCCGAGAGCATCCCAGACGCTGCCTTAATTGACCGAGCTACAACATGGATAAGAATTGCAACCAGAAATTCTACTGAATTTATTTGGATCCTGCTGCCTCCGAAACACAAACCAGGATTTTACACAATTCCCCCATGCACTCGAGCTATGTCAATAGG